CAAACAGACTCATAGAATGTAGAAGGGCAAGAGATGTAGTGACTTGGACCTGTGCCCTCTCTAAGGCTTCAGTGGTTGGACTATCCAGAGGATCTCTAGAGTTACAGCAGCAGTTCAATTTACCAATATTATATATGCTTCCAATTTCCTCTTTGTTCGGTTCAAGCCTCTAGTTTCCTTTAAAGCATTTAAACTCCAGGAAATCCAATAAATAAAGGTATTCTTGCATCTCCCCATCTTCACTGTGGGAGATGCAAGAGCCTATAGCTCTCCCCGGTAAAGGTTCCCCTTGGCATTTAGTCCAGTCATGTCCGACACTTGGGGGTGGTGTTCATCCCCGTCTCCAAGCCGTGGAGCCAGCGTTTGTCCATAGACAGTTTCCATGGTCACGTGGCCAGCACAACTAGACATGGAACACTGTTACCTTCCCACCGTGGTGGTACCTATTTATCTACTCACATTTACATCCTTTTGAACTGCTAGGTTGGCAAGAGCTGGGAGAAGTGATGGGAGCTCACTCCGTCGCATGGATTCAATCTTACGACGGCTGGTCTTCTGACCTTGCAGCACAGAGGCTTCTGCGGTTTAACCCGCAGTGCCACCACATCCCCCTTAGCTTATAGCTCTCCCACTATCTTACAAATACTCCTGATTTGGTCTGGTTTCGCATGTTGGTCCAAAGACAACACAGATTCCTACTTGAAATTGTTCTTCAAAACCTCTATGCCAAGAGTTTCTGCACATTCAGGACAACTTTTCGTGTTTCTGTGCAACTGAGCTCTATCATCAGTGGTTAAATCAGATTTCAGATTAAATCTGTGTATAGGTCTGTTTGGACTTCTCATGAAAAGCTGTAAAGAATTTGAATTCTATCACACAGGGATCAATACCTGGTATGTGATGTCACTCCAGGTTACTCTTTTGCACATCACTCCCATTGAAAGACTTTGGGGCTCTGCTAAAACAGAAAGTAGATTCTATAGACTCAAAGCCCTGCCTACCCATTATGACACTCTTCCTCAAGGCATCCACTTCTCTTCACTGTCATCAAAATTGCACAAACATCCTGGCTTGAGGGTATTTTTGCAGTTGTGTACATTTCCTGGCAATAGACTTTGTCCGTTTCCAGTGCTGAAGTTAAAAAAAAGAGGCTTTACTTTTTTCAAAGGATCTCGTTATCATTCTCTGTTCAAGATCTTGTCAGCAGTGGTAGAAGGGCAAGACCCTTGGAATACAGAGGAGGGATTATGACCACGTTCCAGGGATTCTAAAAGGGGAGCGCCTGCAATCAATGACACTTATCTGTGCACAAATATACGTGATTGAATGAAGGTAGGGTATTTTATGCATGGCATCCTTTATCTGTATGCCTCGTTCTGCTTTTCCATCTCTGTCTCTCTCCTCCCTCTCTCTAAATCTCCTCAACACTCATCAAAAATGCTATTTCCTCTAAAACATTTTGATGAATCTCGTAGATCTTCTCCTAAGCAAAAGGATGTTACAAAATGCTTCCAAAGTTGTTGTTGTTTTTTTCTGATCCTTTATTTTGTGTGTGTGAAGCATCAACACAGATGGAAGGGGACTATATTATTCCTGCTAACCCCCAACATTCACCTACCTGTGAGGGAGGTTATTGGAATTGTGTTCTCTCTATTATTCATGGGCGTTCCCACAGAAAGTGGAAGTCTAATAGGCAGAGTTTTAACTCACATGGAGACCCCCTTGGAGAGCATGGGAGGAGGGTGGAACTGGTGACAAATTTAGGGAAGGGATTTAATGCTCCTTCTTTGAGTGCTGATGCAATAGGCTTTCATAAAGTCTGGAGTAAAGAGGACTTAATTTTTTTTTACAACAAAAAAATCATAAAGACTCGCTGGTCTTATCTGACATACGTTTGTGTGCAGACACTTACAGAGAGGGTCCATGAAATCATAAAACATAAGATACATTGTCTTGTGCCACAAACAATTAACCTCCAAACAATTCAGTATTAGGAAAGGAGACAAGAATCTTGTAAATAAAAACGAATCAAGCTTGCCAACTGATTTCATTCCTCAACATAGGGATGAATGGGGAATAAATCAACCTTTAGTATAAAAATTAGACAAGCAAATGAACAAACAAAGAGACTTGTGAAAATGTTTATATTTATAGCTGCAGCTGTAGAAGAGGTACCTATGCAAGCATTATAGGCAAAAACAAAATAAAAAGTAAATAAAAAGACAAAACCTCTGTGGAATCTTAAAGATTAACTTCTATGTTTTTAACTGTGAGTTTTCATGGACAAGTCCATGTCATCAGACCCCCTTTCACCCATAACACTTTTATATTCAGATGTAATCAGCTTTTGGTAGACTGTGAAGGCAATACATCATCTGTACACTGTATTAAACAGAGACAGAAATGTATTTCAGGGGCACCTGCAAAATTAACTGTTATACTTTAATGTGAACTTTTGGGGGGCAAGTCCGAAGAAGTGGTCTTCTCCACGAAAGTTCATATTTAAATATAGCAATTAGGCTTTACGGTGCCACAACTGTCTTTTGTTTTGGCTTGATGTACTGTATTAAATGTGTTGCATGCAGCTTAAAACAACTCTTATTTTACTCTGTATGTGTGAGGGAGAAAAATCTAGATTAGCCTACCTAAAGGGAGGGAGGGAAAATGACAAGTTTACCTCAGCCTGTTTTCCCATCAATACCAATCCAAGAGGTGAGAAGAAAGTTGCCTTGTTTTGTTTAACACTAAGGGGGCACGTTTATAGGGTGAGACAGTCTTCTGGGGAAAGTATGACCCCTTTCGTGGTGGAAATAAACAGAATTGGGACCCTGTGCACTTAACAAAACAAGATATTTTAAGCTTCATGCTATGCATTTGACACAATAGGTAAAATCCTGTTGCTGACAGTAGTCATACCAGAGTAGGCCCATTGGACTAGTGGAGATTTTGTGAGTTAACTCCTCTAGGAGTTGGCACATTGATTCAAATGGGTCTAGTGTAACTGAGATGTCCTTTAGCACAGAGTAGGGCAAATTGGAATCAATAGAACACATGGAGAAATTGACTTCCCACTGTTTCAATTGGCCCACTCATATGCAACTTACTACACAAAGCAACAGAATTTCAGCCGTTGTGTCATTTAAGACGAAACAGCAAAAGGTACATCACCTCAAGCTAACTACGTAAATAATGGATTTTCAGATGGATTCCCTGCTAAAAGACTTTTCTTCATCTTTAGGGCTGAGTTCCACAGCAAAATCTAATTCCGAGCCTGTTTCTTTTCTTACATTAGGCATGCAAAGACTCAACACAATGATCAACTTCAGCCTGACAACCTTATCCCTTTCTGATGCTGGAAAGAAATATGACGGAACGTACAATGAAACTGGTCTTCCAGATAAAAGTAGCAACTGTCATGATCCAGGGCTAGACAAGGAAGTCCTTGTGTTTGCTATCTTCACCGTGCTTTTTTGCATTTTGGGGATTCTGGGGAATGGAATTGTCATCCACCTGCTTGGCTCCAGCAAGAGGAATACATTCACGATGTATATTCTTAACCTGTCCATTGCTGACTTTGGTTTGGTTACAGCTGAACTGATCATAGAAATACATTGGTTTGTGACACACCTGTACTGCGGCTTTCCATATCATTCGTTTCAGACAGTGTTCCTCATTATGTACAGTACGGGACAATTTATATTGACGGTCATCAGCATTGACCGCTGCATGTCAATCTTCTTCCCAATTTGGTATCGATGCCGACGGCCACCACATTTACCCTTCATTCTGTGCATCATCATATGGGTCCTCTCTCTCATCCTCGGTGTAGTTCACCATATTCTCATTGTTACTACAAGCCTTGGGGACTCTAATCTAATGTACCAGTTTATCGTAAATGCCGTGCTTTGCCTCCCACTGATGACAGTTTCCAGCCTGACCCTGCTCATCAAAGTTTACTTTGTGTCAAACCAACAGAAAAGGGGGAAACTTTTGCTAGCGATTCTCCTTACCCTCATCTTCTTCCTGATCTTGGCTTTCCCACTTAATGCTTTTTACTTTACCATCTATATTTTCCACACAATCCATCCCAATCTTGTGCATTATGGCTACTTGTGCGCCTGTATAAACAGCAGCATTAACCCCCTGATCTATTACATTGTTGGGAGAGTGAAGATGGGCAGAGCTAAGCAGAGCATGAAAGACATACTTCAGAGGATGTTCAAGGAGGAAGAACAGTCTTCAGAAGAAATGGAGACAACTGAAGGTAAAATATGACTCCAAGAAATAATATCTTCCAAGTAGATTGATTGTCTCAGCTGTATACAGTCATTCACATTTCTTCCAACTAAATTTGGACTGTACTGTTTGTAGACCTCCAGGGCCTGTTTTCACCATGGACTACTCATCACAAGGTGTCCACAGAATCTCAGCCTTCAGCTGTATGATGGCAAATACTTTGGCAGAACCCCACATCACAAGGTCCATAGACTGTGGTCTTACCATGTTACCTTAAAGAACATATCATGGTTTAAGACAACACCTTGTTTACTCCTATGCCTGCTACGTTGGTAGACACCTGTTCTTTTGGGCTGCAAAACCCCTTCAGGACCAGCCAGCATTGCTGATAAGCAGAACTGTAGTTCAAACCTGTAGTTCAGAACTGGAAATTTCAGCATGTATACATTACTGAAACAGCGATGTCTACATTGGCTTGGGCATGTCGTGAGAATGGCTGATGGTCGGATTCCAAAAGATCTCCTGTGTGGAGAATTAGTGCGGGGAAATTGCCCCAGAGGGAGACCACAGCTGCAATAGAAGGAGATCTGCAAGCGGGATCTGAAGGTCTTAGGAATAGACCTTAAGAGATGGGAAACCTTGACATCTGAGCGTTCAGCCTGGAGGCAGGCGGTGCATCATGGCCTCTCCCAATTTGAAGAGACGCTTGTACCGCAGGCCGAGGCAAAGAGGCAGTCCCGAAACAAGCAAAACCAGGGAGCTGGACACAGAACAGATTGTATTTGTCTTCACTGTGGAAGAGATTGTCAGGCTCAAATTGGCCTTCTCAGCCACACTAGATGCTGTTCCAAGACCTCCATACAGAGCATGCTACCATAGTCTCTTGAGACTGAAGGATGCCTACAGGAGTTCAAACCATCTACCCAGTGCCTATGTTCAGGAAGAAAAGCTCTCTCCAATGTTTATTAAATTGGGACCTAGAAAACTGAGAGAGAAGGAGAGAGAAGGAATAATAAAAATAATGGCTGAAGAAATCAACTACCTGGAGGAGTTGAACAGAAAAGTACTCTATATTCAGTGACCGGAAATCATAAGATCTGTTCCCGGGCCCAATCTATGTAGATAGACTAGGCCTATTTTGCTATGCAAGGCAATTATGTTGCATCAACATGGATATCTATATGCAGATAAGATATGAAATTCAAATCCATACCCAGCCATGCAGTTTCCCCTCTAGAACTTAAGAAAACATTCAGATTCTTTGCAGTAGAAGCCGGGCTAGCTCCATCTTTGATGTTTTTCCACAGACCAGGAAATAAATTGCTATTAAACAGATAAAACAAAATAAACCTTTTCTGTCTGAAATGATTTGTCGCTAAATGGAATTTTTCAGTTGTTTGGACCTCCTAGTTCCTTCTTAATGGTATGTTTTTACTGTTTTTGTGTATTTGCCAGGTGTAGTTTTAACAATGGGTTTTGATGTTTTAATTTTAACCCTTTACTGTGCAATCTCAAAACAGTATCCTTCCTGAATTATAGACTGTTGGGAACACAAAATGTGACTTGTCATATGAAAAATCCATGTGAGAACATTTCACTGGTTTGGTTAAGCTCTCCTGAAAAGCAAATCATGAGGCGCCCTCTGTTAACCTCTGCGAATATGGAAAAATTATGACAAAACAACGATCTATCAAGAAAAAAAAACACTGCCTGTCCAAGGGTTTTTGGGTGATGTCTGCTCCTTACTCACTGGGAAACCCAGTTCTATCAGCTGTATTTTAGGATGCCATACTATTCAGTGCCAGGTGGTTCTCCTATGATTGTGGATAGAGGGATACAGGAGTGAACCTCTGAGGGTGTGTGACCAGTTGAAACAAGATTCCTTGAACCATTTCTGATAGGAGGGAACAATACAAATAAAATATTATAACTTTTGAAACCTGTCCATATGTTGCAATGTGACTCCAGATAGGATGTATAAGGTGTCTCTGCAGTATTAATAGTGTTATTTGTCTGTCTGTCTGTCTATCTGGTTGGTTGATTAGCTGGCTGGCTGGCTGGCTGGTGAAAATATATTCACCCCACCTTTCTCCTTAAAAAGGAATTAAGGCGCCTTACCTTATTAAAAAACTAAGGGACGTGGTGGCGCTGTGGGCTAAGCTGCAGAAGCCTGTGCTGCAGGGTCAGTAGACCAGCAGTCATAAGATCGAATCCACGCGATGGAGTGAGCGCCCGTCGCTTGTCCCAGCTCCCGCCAACCTAGCGGTGCGAAACCATGCAAATGCAAGTAGATAAATAGGGATCACCTCAGTGGGAAGGTAACAGCGTTCCGTGTCTAAGTCGCACTGGCCATGTGACCACAGAAGATTGTCTTCAGATAAAACGCTGGCACTAAGGCTTGAAAACGGAGATGAGCACCGCCCCCTAGAGTCCACGACTGGACAAAAATTGTCAAGGGAAACCTTTACTTTTACCTTATTAAAAGGCAATATTTAAAGCTGAAGGCAGTGAGTGGACAAATAACTAAAAAGGATCAAACAGTTACCACACTAGAAAAGAGAAAACAAAAGCAACAGTGAAATCACCCTCAAAGCAGTTTAAATGGGCAATAGGACCTGAAAGAGCCTTATTCTTTCATAAATAGACAATAGTCCATTTAAGAACCAATAGTCTATATAAGAACCCCTCTGAGGCAGCCAGTCACAGAGGGAAAGCTGGCCTGAAGAGAGTATAATATGGACTGGCTCTGTGCCAAATGTGGAAACATCTGGACAAGTATTTTTAAAGATCTAATTTGTCATTTATTTTCTAAAAAAACCAGCAACTCACTCACCCACATGGTCATGGAACGTGTTGGTGTCATTTTTTTCTGAGCTTGTAACACATTCGGTAGTTATTTTTTAATTGCCTACCACTGCTTCCTGAAAAGGAAATGATTCCTCTTGCATGCGTTCTGAACATTTCAATATAACCCATCCTGTCATTTGGAAGACATGGGACCTGAAAGAGCCTTATTCTTTCATCATGACTGGCAATACGTGCTCCCTGGATCATTTCGTTGCCATTGCCCAAACATCTTGCCAGTCCTTTAGAAAATCAATGAGGCTCAGGATGTGGTCACACTGACAATAAGAAGTGCAATTCAGAGTCATTTAAAGCAATTTTGAAGTCATCGTTTACACAATACAAAGGTGGAATTTGGGCTTCAAAAAGATTTTTTTTCAACTTGCATTTTAAAATGCCTGCCTTATAAATTTGATTCAAATTTCAGCAGTGTAGATGCCAAAATCAAATTAAAACACTAGAAATAAATTGATTTCCATTTAGTACCTGTGAATGTGGCCACCGGTTTAAATACTATTTGAATTGAACCTGATTTTTTTTGTAAATGCTGAACTGAAATTAATTTAAATTGACAATATGACCAAATCCTCACTGTGTTGAATGGAGCTTATTTTGGGGCAAGATGGTAGACTGGGATTTCAGCCTTCCTGTAGGCATGAGGGTTTTAACACAGATACGGGGTACTCAAGGGTTGGTGAAAGGGGAAGAGAGAGGACATAGAGAAAGAGGGAAAGTGAAGGAGAAGAAAAATCATGGGGTGAGGAAAGACAATGACAGAGGCAATTAGAGACGCTCAGAAGCCACAGAAAGAGACACAAAGATGCCACAGGAAAAGAGAGGAAGAGAGGGAAGATCAAGAGAGAGAAAAAGGAGATGAGACACAGAGAAAGAGAAACAGAGGTGGGAGAGGAGAGAAAGAGAGAGAATCCACATAGAGAAAAGACAGAAAGGAAGGAGGTTAAGACAGAGAATATAGAGCCAGAGGCAGAGAGAGCAGCCATGGTGAGAGAGGAAGGAACTTGGAGAGCAGGGGAGCCAGTGAGAAACTGAAGACCTCAGTTTTTCAGCTGCATAGAAGTGTCGGATTCTGCTTCTAAATGCTTGGAAAAAATAAAGTACAAAGTCGTCCTCCATCTTAAAGCTTAATAAGCAACTGCATCCACACATAGAAGATGGCTGAAATACCAAGAGAAGACAGAGAGACCAGCTAATGGAATGTCACCGTCATCATGCAGGTACAGTGGACCCTTGACTTACAGACGGCTTGACTTACAGACTTTTTGAGTTACAGACTTCTCTGGCCGCAAAATTTAGGTTTGACTTGCAGACTGAGATTTGACTTACAGACCAGAAAAAAACCAAAATGGAACAAAAACGGCCTGTTACGGGATTAATCGGTTTTCAATGCACTGTAGGTCAATGGAGACTTGACCTACAGACTTTTTGACTTGAAAACCGCCTTCCAATACGGATTCTCAAGTCAAGACCCCACTGTATAGAGCTTGGGATGTTCTGTTTGTTTGTTTTTTCACCACAAATAACAAAATTCAGCAGGAATTCCCTCAAACCAGAATTCTAATATCTTTAGTAACAAAACAAAAAAAATCAAGGTTCTCAGAGAGTTTTAGGACCCTCACCTGTTCCCTGTCAAGGACTTCTCCACAATGGTCATTAAAGCATGGACGTGGGTGGAGATTTCTAAGCTCCATGGGAACAGCAAAACACCCTCCACAAGGTCTAAAGAACAGAGAGACTCCCCTCTCCTAATCCCTCCATCCCTCCCTCTCTTCACTTTCTCTCATCTCCTCAAGATTAACGGCAGTCTTTGGTTTGATGACTTCAACCTTAAATCAGGGATTGACAATCTCGAGAGGAGCAGGGACCACACAAGTCCATCCTTGGAGGATTTCTCCTCCCCCTAAAAAAAGTCTTCTTTAAATCAAAAATGTTTCTAGCTCCTTCTAGTGGTGATTTTTTTAAAGAAATAAAATTAAATTAAAATAGCCCTGTGAACTGCTGAGATGGAAAACATGGTAAAATGATGCCCTCTGCCTGATGGAGGACACAAGGGGCTTTTCTGAAGCAAAAATGGGGGAAAAGGTGTAAGAAGTTTTGATAAGCCCTGAGGGCCTTTTGCAGCCCATTGCCATATGTCACTCACTCCTGGGACTTGGTTTCTTTTAGCACAAGTCAGAAACACAAACCCACACACCACACATATATCCACACACACATATATAAAATAAGAACTAAGTACATGCCATGTAGAAAATAAGAATGCAAGGGGAGCAATGCTGGCTCAGAGCTAAGTCCACCATACTTCTTTTATAGGGTCCAAACCAGCTGCCTATATGATGCTAATGGACAACATTCTGAATGCACGTCACACAGCCCCCCTCCCTTCATGGACAAGGTGGTGCAGCTATAGAGAATCGTAATCATGGACATCTTGAAGAAGCAAGATTCTCCTTTAAACCAAGGCAAAAACCCACTCCACAACTGAATTTAAACCGTGTTCGGTTTTGCAATGGCCACACTGTTTAATTCCAAGGACACGAGGCAGGGGTGGTTGAGTCATGCAGCCTCATTTCGCTTCCAGGGTTGGCATTGACCCCGGAGCCACCCAAATGGCCCATTTCCTTCTATGGGTGGTCCATTAGCAGGAAATGAAGATGGAAGCAGCTTTCCTCTAATGGTCTTTAGCAACTGCTGCTGAGAGTCAAATGCCTAGAGGGAGAAAAGAAATGCACACATCAGCAAGTCTAAAGAACAATTCTCTCAAGAGTTGGTTGAAAATTTCCCACTCAGGGCTCCATGTAGAAGATTGCTTTTCCCACCCCCACCCCGGATAGAAACAAAGAGGCTTCTCCATGGCAATCAATGCATGAGGGAATGGAACCGGACATTTTATCCTGAAGAGAACCTCATATACCACCCTTAAGAAGCTGCTCAACATTCTTTCTTCAGCGCTGGAGGGATGAGATCTACTCAACTCTGAAAAAAGGTTGCGGTTTAAACCCTGAAATTCTGGAAAGAGAACACTTGAAAGCATTCAACTCCCATTTCTTCAAGTCGGATGAAGAAGGTAAGACATCCTGCTTCCTTCCTGTATGATGCTCCCTCTTTTTTCTTGTCCCTTTCTCTCCATCCTTCCTTCAAAGGCATTTTTCCTGTATACCAAGAGCAAAGTACTGTAACTACAGTTCAAAGATCTCATGAAGTTCTAAAAATTGTTTATGTTAAACCCTTACTCCATACACAAACACATACTTTTGGCTAGATCCCATGTCAACAGCTCAACTGCGGGGGGGGGGGAAATCCAGTGCTTGGAAAATAGTCCAGTTTGGAGACACTGTGAGAAGTGAGAGCAGAGTTTTCTTACTGAAGCAGTGAAAGCTTGTTATCTCTGATCAGTGTTCAGACCAATAGGTTATTGTTGTTGTTTAGTCGTTAAGTCATGTTTGACTCTTCATGACCTCATGGACCAGAGCACGCCAGGCCCCCCTGTCTTCCACTGCCTCCCGGAGTTGGGTCAAATTCATTTCAGTCGCTTCGATGACACTGTCCAACCATCTCGTCCTCTGTCGTCCCCTTTTCCTCTTGTCCTCACACTTTCCCAACATCAGGGTCTTTTCCAGGGAGTCTTCTCTTCTCATGAAGTTATAGGTTGCAGATAAGTAGGTTATAGATAAGCATTTTAAGTCATTAAAATGAAAACAGGATACCCAACATGGATCAAGAGATTATGGTCCTGTGTTCAATCAACCATGGAAACTGATTGGAGGATTGGAAATAGTAAAGCCGCTCCTTCAATATCTTATTTACCTTGATAACTCTATTGGGATTGCTAAAAGTCAGTTCCAATTCGATGGCACTTAACTAAGAATAGTAATCTATAAGATCTTTTGCACTCTTGTAAGCAAATAGCAGACGGGCAGCTTTAATAGGCACATTGATTAAAATGATTTGGTAAATGCTAGTAGATAATGTCAAACTGAAAATAATGATGAAAATACTGTCAACTGCTGACAGCAAGTAGATGAATCTAACCGTGTGTGGATTGAATAACATTGCCTGAAAAAGAGAGATAACCTGGTAAGAGAAAGATATTTTAGATGATAACAACATTATTGTATGGTTTGCCTTTAACATCTTTCATGGCTCATAAAAGGATCAATGTACTCTACAAGGTGACTAAAATGTTTTATCTTGCACACACAAAAAAATAATGTTTATGGCCATGCCATGCACAAAGAAAGATGTTCCTCCAACTAAGATACCCACCACCAGCAATCCTTGGCACAGAGCAAAAAATACCTCATTCACTCATCAACCAATCCAAAATGTAGCAAAGCACCCCGAAATTAGATAAGTTAAAAAAAAAATTATGAGTTCACTCATGGTGCCACCTAGCACAACAGACCCTCTGGGCGCAGCCAGCATAACAGGAAAAAAAAAGGAAAGAAGCGGCCAGCCATCCAAGTATTGGCAGTCCGTCACACACCAATGCATGGAACAACAACACAACAGAAATATCCCAAGCTGTCTTTCAAGAAAATTAGCTGCTAGTAGAGATGGGCACAAACTGAATTACAAATCAGAAAAAGTGACACATCGGACTGGCTTGTGGTTCAGTTGGGGATTCTGTTTTGCCAAAATAGAACAAAGTGCTGAACTTTTCCCCCCTCAGCACCTCATTTTGCTTTGGCAAAATGGATGCCTGCTGGCCCCCTTCCCACAATCTCGATCACTTCCCTACCTTATCCGGTTGCCACTGACACTGTTGTCTCCAACGCAGCTGCCATTGTCAGAGACAGTGGGATAACCGCTTAACCCAGTGGTCCCCAACCTTGGGCCTCCAGATGTTCTTGGACTTCAACTCCCAGAAATCCTGACCAGCAGAGGGGGTGGTGAAGGCTTCTGGGAGTTGTAGTCTAAGAACATCTGGAGGCCCAAGGTTGGGGACCACTGCCTTAACCCACTAGGCACAACCCAAAAACGAAACTGTGAACTGGTTTAGTTTTCCAGTTAGTTTGTGGTGGCTTGTAGTCCCATGTCTAACCATAAACTACAAACCATCAGAAGTCACCATTTTTAGATCTGTGCCCATCTCTAGTTACTACCTGTGGAGGCTAGTAGCACACTAGCACAATCATAACAATCCACTCCCCTGCCCACAAAACCTCACAGAAGGAAAACAAGACAGTTCCCACTAAAAAGCCACCAAAAAGGTTTACTTTTAACAAAATAAATGCACACTAAATTAACCAAATAGCATTGGAGAGAATTAATCAAACAGAAAACACACACATACACACATGGGAAAGAAAAATATTTATTTTAAAAATGCACTCTCAAAAACCAAGAAAAACAAAGGCCAAAAAAGAAATCACCCTCACTCTACTTGAATGTGCAGAGATCTTTCTACACAGTACCTTGATGCCTTCTCTTTCTTCTTTGAATCTTCTGGATTCAAATAGACAGGCACCAGGCAGTAATCCTAAATGGAGGGCATCAGCCGCCTAGAGTGGTCGTATTGACCAGATAGGTGAGGTACAAATAGAATAAATAATAATAATAATAAATAAATAAATCAGGAAGAACCCAGCAAAAAGTGATCCCTCTCACAATTTAGCTATTTTAATATGTCAAAGTTTGTTACCTTACTTGTTTAAGAATATTAGAACAAATGAGGGGGTATAGAAAATGCCTCTAATACTGCTTTAAATTATAGTACTTTCAAACTTGCTACATAAAAGTATTGTTTACTATAAGAATTCTTTAAACAATGAATCAATCTGATAAGCAAAGTCACTGAGATCATTTGGCAACTCCTTATTTCATTTTAGTATCCAATGTATACACAAGAGAATATTAAACACTGATATCTGATGGGCAATTGGTGTAAATACAGGCAATTAAACACCTGTAAGCAGATGTGTGACATAAGCATGTTCATGTTTAAGTAGACATTTGTGCTATCAAGCAGGTAAAGTAAACAATAGTTGCTTAGAAGTGAGGGATAACCACAGTGGATAACCAGTGCTTCATAGCAGAATATAAACAGTTATGCTCACTCATATAATCAGAAGAAGGAGCTGCGACAGACAACTTATCCAAGGAGACAGATATAGAAGTGGCTCCAAATAATGGACTGCTTAGACATTAATAGCTAAATGAAGACAGTCTATTACAGTCTATTGCTAAGTCTATTAGATTGTAATAGCTAAAATGTATTTATTTATTTTATTTAAAATATTTTTACCCAGCATATCTCACCGAAAGGATCCAAGGCAGTGTGATGGGTGAGCTCTGTTTAAAAATGCTTTTGTAAATTATATCATTGTTACATCATTGGTATAGTATAGTATAGTACAGTATAGTACAGTACAGTACAGTACCGTACCGTCTAGTCTAGTCTAGTATAGTATAGTATAGTCTAATCTAGTATAGTATAGTATATAAATTATTATTCTAAATGAATGTTATCTATATATTTGGTTTGGTTTTCTTGGCTACTAAATAATATTAGGGGAAATGATTCTTGTAACCTATAGTTCCTATATTTTTCTAGGAATCATAAAATTTCCAACATGAAGATCATGAATAAAACAAGACCTCTTGTTTCGTAAGTAAATTGTTATATGTATGTTATAGAATATTTTACTTGAGCTGTATACAATTTATTCAAGCTTCTTTCTCCAAGAATCATCCAACTACTGTATAATTGCCCTCATTTCATATGCTAGCAAGGTTATGCTCAAAATCCTACAAGGTAGGCTTCAGCAGTATGTGGACCAAGAACCCCCAGAAGTACAAGCTGGATTTCGAAGGGGCAGAGGAACTAGAGACCAAATTGCTAACATGCACTGGATTATGGAGAAAGTCAGAGAGTTCCAGAAAAAATCTACTTCTGCTTCATTGACTATG